TGCAGCAGTATTATTATTATTATTATTATTATTATTATTATTATTATTATTATTATTATTATTATTCCTAAAGACAGTTTTATAGTAGGTGGCATTAGCTATCTTTTAAATGATTAGAAAACTGAAATGGAGATGAGGTTAAGCAAGTTGCCAAAGTCACGATGCTAGCAAATGAGTGAGCCATGATGCAAATTCTGGACCATTTAATTCCAAGCCTTTGATTTTAACTAACACAGCAAAATAGCCTTTGCTATTAATTTTAAACTTTTTCATGTCATAGAACCAACTACTTAGAATTCTAAAGTAAGAGTCATGAGAGGTGGAATAGCATTGTATAAGGGCAGTTAGGGGTAATTTACCACCAAGATTTCCCAGCACATAGGCGATGCTGTTGCAGGAAGTGCACAGGCTATCCACGTTCTCTCAGGAAGTTCCTTCCACACAAGTAGGCTCTTTAGTGTAGTTGCCACCCACATGTGACACCTGGTGGTTTGAGATTAAACACAAACAGGTGCTACAAATAAAATCACCCCTGTCTCATCACCCACAGGATTGGAGAGGACTCCACCCTTCTGGCTTTAGAGTATCTTGTGACCAACTGGCATTGCCAGTATTTTAGATCAGGTTCAAAGTAAGGAGAAAGATACACTGGAGATTTTATATCAAAGAAAAAGATAACACTTAAGTTTTTTTAGTGATTAAAAAAAGATATCTGCTTGTTCTAATTTGTACAGATCTGGACTGTAAGCATTTGAACAAGTAGAACCCCACGAAAGGTAGAAACTGTGCAAGGTGCAGATAACCGAGTACTGGCATCAGATCTGTTCCCTCAGTTGTCTCTGCGTTTGTGGTCATTTCATCTAGAGCACCTCTGGATGAAATCTCTTGTTGGATATTTGGATATCATTTTCAACCAGAGAAGTCTGTTTTACGTCCTGCTGCCAAACTCCGACAGCCTTCTAAAGCCTCAGGCTAAGAGAAGAGAGAGACATAAACACTAGTTTAATTGTCCCGCCTTGACTTGGACAGATAGTGAAATCTAACTTGCTCTACTGAATGAGGAGTGATAGTTTAAAAGGATAGGTTGTTACTGTGTAGTTTCACGTATTGAGGGATACCTTTTTCTGTTTCTATTCTGTGGCTGGATCTGCTCCCCAGGAAGCAGTCATAAGACTCTTCCTTACTTCTTAAAAAGCAAATGATTGAAAAACAAAATCCAAACCAGAAATAAAACCAGAACCTGCCAGCCCCTCCTGTGTCTTTGGCAGCTCCAGGGTGGGTCCCTGGGCAGAGCCAGCAGCGATAACAGCTGCAGGAGGAAAGAAGCGACAGTGAACTCTGAAAGCTGCTTTACTGTTGTCCTCCTTGTGGGCCAGGCCTGCTCCTGGTCCCATTTCTGTAAAAACAAACAAACATCTTTGTTTGCATCTGTTTTTTTTTCCCCTCTGAAATTTCAAAAGTTTGTGTACCTGCAGACCTGCTAGCCTACCAGTAACATTCGTGTTTAGCCTCCCCGTTTCCTTCTCGGTCTAATTTAGAGAGAGACGGGCAGTCCGCTCACTTGCTTTCCCTTAGTTATAAGCAATAAACAACCCCCCCCAAATGTTGGAAGTGTTTCATACTTTCTTTTTCTGGGGGACAAAAATAAGGGAATACCTGAGGTTTTGCCTCAGTTTGCCAGAAGAAAAATTTTGACTTGAGGCCATGGTGCTAGATGGCAGCATAAGAGGAGAGGCAGACAGGCCAGATGCCCTGGGGGAGCTGTGATTTGGGGGTGGAGGGTGGACGGAGCCAGCTCCTACAGGGGACTCTGCCACTGCAGGACCCTCGTCCGTTTGGCTCGTTGTCTGTGAGCTGCTGAGGCCCCCATCTTTTTCTCCCTTTACAGTTCTCTTCTCTTGACTCGTACCCTTTCTTGTTACCTCGTAATAGAAATAGTACAACAAAAGCGTGTCTCACGTCTGCCCTGGGCATCTGTGGGTAGAAATGAATTGCTTCTTTAAAGGTGTTTCTGTGTAACTCTGTCACCAGCAGACTCTTCTCAAGCCAGTGCTGTGATCCTGTCTGTCTCGGGCTGTGAAAGCTCTAGGCGGCCCGCAGCACGGGCTCCTTCCTGGCTCTCTGCAGGCGCTTTCCCTTCAGCCACAGGCTCTGCGGGCACCCAGTCTGCTTCTTGAGCTGTTGCAGGTCACAGTTCTCCCAGATATTTCAATACAACACGGAAGGTTCAGTTGATTTCCAAACACGACAGTCGCTGTCGTCCTCACCTGTGTCTGTGTGTCTCAGCAGCCCACCTGTGTGTATTGTTTTTGTCGCAGAGTTCTCCACAGCTGATGGCAGTTTCTGTATGATTAGAGCATAGATTAAACTGCTGTAACAGACCCTCAGCTACAGCAGTGGCTTACATACAACAAATTCATCTTTCTCTCATGTAATATTCTTGAGAATGAGAGGTCCAGGCTGATGGGGTTGCTCTGTGGTTGTTCATGGGCCCAGGTTCCTTCCATCTTGCTGTCTGCCCTCTCTCCCCTGAGTGGTGTTGCCGTCAGCAGCATTGCAACTGGTGGCTGACATGTCTGTGGGCCAGTCTGTGAGAAAAAGGGAGCATAATTCAGTCCAGAGCAAATCTCTTTCTTTTAGGTAGTAGAAACTACATGGTTACTTCTGGTCATATTCTGTTGGTGAGAACCTGCCATGCTTAGCTGCAAAAAAAAGCAAATAAAGTCTGTAGCTGAGCAGTTGTGTGCCTATTCAGACTTGAGTAACATAAGAGAAGGAGTGTGGGTTTTGTCCTTTGTCCATTTCCCACATGGGTATGTGCCTTGTTCATCTGTGGAGTTCTTCACACATTCTGAATTTGAATACCTTTTTGGGGATACAAATTGCATGCGTTTTCTTTCAATCTGTGACATGTTTTAAAATTTCATTTGTGGGTCCTTCGTCATATAGAAATTTAATATTCTAGTAAAATTTGCAGATCTTTTCATAATCCTTCTTTGATGCTCATGTATTTTATATTTGTGGGTTTGGTTCTGGGTGCTCTTTATCAGTTTTGTGCCTAGGAGTAGACAGGACATAAGCCAGGATTGATAGGCTCCACAAGCACTTGATTTATGGTCAATTCTTCTATTTTGATTTTTAAAAGAAACATTATTTTTAATAGAAAACCAAAATTATTTGATGCCACATTTCATCATTAATTTTTTGATTTCATAGGATTTAGTTATTTGTTGTTC